TAACTCGGCTCCTGAGTCACGTAGCGACACGCGGTAAGCGGCAATCGAAAGAACGTCCAAAATAAGGACGAAAACACTTCGCTCATTTTTTAGGTCAGGTCAAAGGTCAGGTCACCAGAGGTCACCAAAGGTAAAATGTTGACTATTTTAACATTTTACAAACTACCGACGGCTATCTCGGGAACCGATAGAGTTACAGCACCGCGGAAAAGCGCAATCGATAGCTCTTTTACAGACCTTTCTGAATAATGCTTTCAGATTTGACCTCAGGTCAACGGTTTAGTCTCCATAGGGCAAAAAACTCCGAAAATAGCCGTTTTTACGAAAAGTGTTTTTTTGCAATAACTTTTGACTCAAAAGAGCCATGACGTTACTTTTGCCAGCATCGTGTTCCTCTCGTCGAGACGCGTCGAATGAACTATAATTTGACCTTAAAAGGTCAACTTGAAAATTTGACCTCAGGTCAAGGTCAAATGACCGGATGAGGTCATGTTGCCTATCAGTCGATCCGCAACGTCGAGCCGAACACATCTAAGGCGTTTTCAGCGCTCTAGCACGCCTCTATCAGAAGTTATCAGCGAAATACTGTTAGATTCTGTTCGTGACCTGAGATGACCTCGGGGAAATAACGAGGGGTCACAGTTGCCATTTTCCGGTTCAGTGTGTCAATTTTACCTACATCTCGATGTTTGAGAGTGTCTAGAATAGCGTTCGTGCAAAACAGACGCTTTTCAATTTTCTCCCATTGACTTAGGTATAGGGGATTGCGGCCTACCTAATGGAGAGGCCGCAAAATTGACCTGACCTTAGGTCACCGATATCAAAATTCCGAGATAAACGTTTTATAGATAATGCTGCTCTTATCAATCTCTGAAAGTTTCGAGGCAATCGATCCGTCGGTGTAGCTATGACGAGCATTCTTATTTTTTCTGAGGTGAGGTCACTTGGCGTGACCTGGTGACCTGACCTAAGGCGACCTGGGTCTGAAATTTTCACATGTGCGGAAAAGATGCACAAACAGGTGTGCCAAAAACGGCGGCGCTCCGCGCCGCCATTTTTGAGATATCTACGAAAAACCGCAGGGGGGGGTGTTCAACCCCCCCCCCGCCCCGGCGCGGGTAAGTTTGTACGTTGTAAGCTTTCGTTTACCCGTCTCTTTAACGACCATCCTGTCTGAGGTTAGACAGCCCTGGCAAGTGCGGGAAAGGGAAACACTCCAGCAACTGCAGGGTTAACCCTCGCAGGCCGAGGGGGGCGGGTGCCGCCCCCACCCCCATATATTTTCTTTTCGTGATACTGCTCACCAGCGATACCTAGAGCTGAAACTTGGTATAACTGACCCTTAATTCAAGTCGAATCTTGTGACGTCAACCTCAACCGCAATCTTTCAGTCAGGTCAGGTCACTGACCTATGACGTCATAAGTGAACCCCTGCACGGTCATCAGATGTCGCAACTTCACAACGCCCTCAGTGCCAGGAGGAACTTTCAAAGGAAGCTGAAACTTACAGGACGTAGTAGCCTCCAGAGGTCTCACAACTTGTATATCTCGGATTTTTCCTTAAGGTCCGGCGAGGGTTAAGGTCATGTCACCGATTATTGGGCGGCGATCCAAGCCATCTAGAAAATATAAGAATAAATTTCTCTCCAACACATCATGCAATGAATTATTGGCTTAGGTATGTTGCACCGCCGAAGTTCGAGCAGTTATCCAGCATCCGTCCCGCACTGGAATGAACAGCACCAAACCAGTCCAGCCGTGTGCGACCGCTTGCCGGGACGACAAGAGCGTCACCTCGAACTCCGCGCCGCAGATGCTGCCACCTGGGCCTTGTTTCATAAAGCGAGTCCGTACCCTACGCCGGTTTTTGGTCTTGTATTGCAAGTGCATGTGAAGCGATGATGATAGTTTGAATCGTTTAATTTATTCATCTTGCAAGCAAGAACAGAAGGGAGAAGGGGGAATAAATTTATCGCTTCACATGCGCTTGCAATACAAGCCCAAACACCGGCGTAGGGTACGGAATCGCTTTATGAAACGAGGCCCTGGTTACGATCGATGACTGCTGGTTGCCGAAGACTGGTTGCCGAAGACTGGTTGCCGAAAGACCTCTCCTATTTGCCGGTTGCCCTTCAGATGAGCGAAATGCCAATACACAAATTGGTCAGCACGTTCCTGACACGTGACACTGATCCGTCTGCCGACGTCCGACGAATTTTGTGAGGCTCATGTCACAAAAAAACGTCAGTGTCTGGGTCCCGATTCCGAACCGCAAGCATTACATTTATTCGTAGGTGCGAGGAGATCTCATGTCCTTTGATGCTCTATGAATTTCGGGAACAGATGAGAGTCACATCGAGTCAGGTCGGGGCTGCAGATGAGGGGGAGGCGTCTCGGGCATGACTTGCAGGTGGGCAAATGCCCATGGTGTATAGATCGATGCTTCGTAAACTGACATTTTAAGTATGTACACCCGACATCAAAATACGAGTACCTCATCTAATGCTCTTTCAGTGATACAATTCTTAAAGCTCCGGAATTGGAAGCCGACCTTAGCCGCGAACTCTGTCCGACCTACGTGTAGAGTTAGCTCGCCACGTGGCGCACGGTGTTCCCAGCCCTCGCCAGACCTACTGCAGTTGTCTACATACGCGCCGGCCGAGGGGGCGGGGCGGCTACGACCCCATCCCTCGCCGCTTCGCCCCTGGTAGAGCTAGCGCGTCGCGTATAACGCGCCCTTCTGGGAGAGGGGGGGGGGGGTGGAGGGACTATGCATATTCATAGCCCGGAGCCTCCCCCCCTCCTAACTCCGAAAGAACTGGGCTGATCGTCAAAATTCAAACGGCGTCTGATAGCCCCGGAAAAACTGTCGTACGAAACCTAATTTCATTGACATCGAGGTCACCGTTGACGTCACAGGTCAGGTCAAAATATAAATTATCGATGTTTGGCTTGTTCACATTTTGGGCTCTGGCCGCCGTCTTACAAGTCAGATCAGGCTCACTTTTGCTTTGCACACTCGTGAACAGATGCTTTAGATACTCTGAGGGTACCAAACTTGTACTTTGATTTTCAGGTCAGGGTCAGGTCATCAAAGGTCAAGGAAATCTTATATCATGCATCGGTCACGTGACACATGCTTTATGGTCCATAGGCCACAGATTTCGAAGTCAATGTCGTTTAGGTATGTCATTCGAGGTCATTTTGAATTGAATTTAGCTTAGGTCAGGCCACTTTCAGATCATAAGAGATCAAATTTTTATGTTAACCTTCACCCCGCTGGGTGAATTGCCGCTGGGGGGGGGCAATTTGCCCCCCGCCTGTGGTTTTTCCTAAATAGCAAGAAAACGGCGGCGCAGCGCCTCCAAAATTTCAGTACCTTTCTGGGCATCAATTAGACACCTTCACACCAAGTTTCAAGTCTTACGTTACCTTATGTCAGGAGTTATTGAGGTCAAACTGAGGTCATGTTCGAGCAAAAATGAGCAAAAAAACATGAAATCTTGAAACGCTCACAAAAGCTACAGTTACCAAGCAATTTCAAAGTTCTTTATATGGTCATGTAGATAAAAGACAGCGCTACAAAAATGCTATCTCGGATTCTCAAAATTTTTGGATTTTGACCCCTAAAATTCAAAAAATTGATGCAAAACTCAAAAAAATCCCTCAATTTTTCCGAATTTCGAAAAAACGGAATATATTGATAGTCCCTGCGCTCTTCTAAATACAAATTAAATTTTAGATCGATACCTCCTTTTTTGGCCAAGTTATAGCGAAAAAACTGTTGAAAATTGCTGACGTCATATTTTTAAACTCAATTTTTAGCAATTGTAGACCACGTAGCGCAAAACAAAAGCCACCATTGAACTCCCCGTGACGAGCTGCATCGAATTGATACCCATTTTATGCAAAAATATCATTTTTGAAATTTGACCTAATTTGACCTGACCTTGACCTGACCTTGACCTGACCTTGACCTGACCTTCACCGGATAATAATCTTAACTGACCCCAAAGGCTGCCTGACCCACATAATCGTATTTGGCATATAAAATTGACCATAAAACATATATCACTTGATATTTTCATATTGTGACCCTCAGTGACCTGACCTCTGTGACCTGACCTGGTATCAGTGACCTCAAATAGCAAAATATGTGTTTGACGAGCATTTCCTCATCGATGATTTTCAATGAAATGCATTTTACTCGATTTTACAATGCATTTCTTGAAATACCTGTAAAGTGTAAACGGTGAAAATTCGACATTTGACCTGACCTGTGACGTCATTGGTTTGACCTAGGTCAACGAAATTTGTCACAAGATAGTTCCCTGATGGGGCTATCCAACACCGTTTGCTGCTTGTCGCTATGTTGCGTGGTTCTTGAGATATTGGGGGTGGGCAATTTGCCCCCCCCCCCCCAGCAGGGCGCGTTGGTCGGCAGACCCCAGCGGGGCGCGGGTTAACAATTTTTCAAGAAAAAATGTGTTACTCGGATGCAGGCTGAGGTCAGGATCACGATGGTGCTATGCATATTGGTGTACGATGTCAAATACGTACTGAAAAATTGATTAAAAAATCTATGAATGTGAAATGTTTGCTATAATGCATATAACTTGGCTATTTTTCAAGATATCTGGCTGCAACTTCATTGCTAGAGTAAATCACAAGCATGTGTTCTATCACATGCTACGAAGTTCATATTTTGACACAAGGTGTCACATTGATGCAGACGAAGGTACTGAAAGTTTGGCGTCAATATGTTTAGCGGTTTAGTAGCCCCCCCCCCCCCCCCCAGTGGGGCGCGGGTTAATAAAGTTTGGTATCGCCAGGATAAAAAAAGGGAGCGTTGCAGTTTTCTTATTCGAAGAAGCGTCCCATCTCATAAGGATGGCTACTGGTTAGTGTTACAAGGTTAAGCAATGCGCGCCACGTGCCAATGACCGTGACCGTAATCCGGCCAGGCCAAACACACCATGTGATGATTTGAGCCAGAGCTTAACTCGGCCCGAGCTCGTGCACAGTGCTGGTGACGTCACTGAGTGGGGCCCGGCGCTGCGGCTGGTCCTTCCCGAAAGTCCAGCGGTGTCCTTGGCTCCGTTTGGAGTGCACATGCGGCACGGCCGGACGGAGGGTGACACCCGCCGTGGCAGTCAGAGCAGCACACGGACCCGGGCGCGGAGGTACTGCTGGTAGAGCTGACGACATATAAGTGATAATCTCCCTCTCCGGATAGCCACTGTAGACGGGGACACAGTGCGGGCTCACCCAAGTCACTGCGCTGCGCCCTGACTGGGCGTACTGCCGAGTACGCCAGTGCGGAGCACTTGAGCTGAAACGTGCGGGCGTCGAGCTGAAGTGTGCGGGTGACAGACCCCGCACAGCTCACCAGTGCTGTTTGAAGATCGAGCAGCCTGTCCCGTCCCGTTCGACACCGTCCCGTCCGCCGAGAAGATGACGGTGACCGAGACTCCGCCACAGGTGAGACTACATGCCGTGTCGTGCCGTGCTTGGCCATGCCATTTCGCGGTAACTTTACTGTTTGGTACTGTTTTGTGCCTCTCTGTGCTGTTTTTGTAGCCGTGCCGGACTGACCTGTCCCATCCCACCTTCCAAGGTGCTAAGTCTTTAATGTAACGTATGCTTCCTCTATAAATGTGCCGAATAATTCTATGCACTTTCTTGTCGTCCCATCTCGCCCTGTGTGCTCTAAGCGCCGCGCCGTGCCGTGGGAGTTGTGACCGTTTGCGCTCCGCTCGGGGACCAGCCGCAGCCGCAGTTCCGGGCGGTATTCACTCCTCTGACACCACCAAAGGCAGAACGTGACGTGAGAATATGCGCGGGTGGATGTATAGGAAGCACCGGAGTGCAGAGTGGGACGTCATTTCAGTTCATCGTCGTCAGCTCAGCCTCGGCGACGCAGCGGTGGCTCTCAGGCCACCAAACTGTATGGCTTTATTTCTGCGCCGCGAGTTCAAGCATTAGGGTCAATTAGATATTTATAGAGGTTTGAAAAGGCACTTAGAATTCTCTCTGCCTGACTAATGTTAGTTATTTAAATGAGTGCTAACATTCCCAGGAATAGGTAGGTAGGTATCAGATTCCAGTCTACAAAAAAAGGATCGAGGCAGGCGGATGACTTGCCATTTATAAATACGTGAAGAATCATTGACCTTTTTGTATCGTGTCATTTTGTTGGTTTGACGAAGGCTTGTAGCCGAAAGCTCACCGCATTAAATATAACTTTTGGCTTTGTTTTTACTTCTTCGAGGAAAAGATCAATGATTCTTCGCGTATTTATGCTCGCTATGTTCCTCGCTAAAGCACTTCACACCATTAATTCACTTGCCATTTACCATGTAGGTATAGGATACAGGCAGGATACAGGTAGGATACAAGATACAGGTATACCCTTTTAGGCGACAATGCGTGATATTTTGCTTAGATATAAAAATGTAATGATGAATAGCCAATCTTTTATTCAAGGATATCTAATTTTTAAGTATACCATTGATACTCGAGGCACTCATTCATCTGTTTTTAGTAGACACAGCACAGGCGTGCCATGATATTTATATCGATCTCCGAAATGGTAACAGACACTGCGCTGGCCGCTGCTGTCTACCCAATACCCATCTGCCACTCCCCTACTATCTCTCACCCAGCTCGTAGCGCGTTGTGCGCAGTGGTGGTCATTACCAAATCAATATTCCGTGCACGTAAGGAGTCACTGTAGTGTGCACGTGCACAACCCCAAGGCCGCCTGGTGCAGACTTGACCCACTAAATCTGTTGGCGGGCGTCCAGTCGTTTAGCGGGCTCCCTGCCTTACCAGATAAGACGCCAAATTGGCAACATCATGGCTGCACGGTTCGGGGAATCGGTGTTACAGTACCGATAATGGTGTTCTCTGAATGTACTTAGATGATTATTTTGTCATTTGAAATGCGACACATGTCATCGGATAATATAAGCGTAGTCATAAGCGAATCAGTGATGTTCAGAATGCATCACAAAACAACAGCGAGCTGCAAATTTCAACTGAGAATATCACTTGTATCACGCATGTTCCGTCATCCAAAAGCTTTCAGCAATGCACCTTCATAGGTAGGTATCAGCAGGGTTCCGCGGCACTATTTATGTATGTCCTCTGCCTGTGTCTGCCCAGGCGGATGTCGAGGAGGGCGCCGCCGCGCTCTACGAGGGGGATGAGAACCCCGCTCGCGGAAACTGGTCCGGTCGGCTCGACTTCATGATGTCCACTCTCGGGTACGCCGTCGGTAAGTGATTGCATAGCAAGCCGCTAGGCCATCGGTAAGAAGATCAGGCTCGCCCAGCCATGGTATAAGAGGCTCAATAAGTCAAATGAGAAATAGAACGTTGTCGGTAAGAGGCCCCTCGGCTATCCGTCGTAGAAAAAGGGACTAGAGGAGGCCATTCACTCGATTGACTCTTGTGTGGAATCGGCTTTTATAAGCCGTTCTCAAGCAGCGGCAAATCATGTTGAATTATATTAACCTTTCTTTTATATAACTCAACTATCATTATAACGTAGCTTTATCTCAATGTAGTGTATGTATTGAAAAGTATAGGTAGGCACGTGATTTAACAATAGCCTGTCAATAAACCGTTAAATCCGAAGACCGTCTATGTCGTCTCTAACGTTGTCTACCAATGCTGCTAAATTGGCGATCCTGATACAGTTGGACACTGCCGCGGCTCTGCGGCGCAGGTCTGGGAAACGTGTGGCGCTTTCCGTACCTGTGCTACCAGAACGGCGGCGGCGCCTTCCTGGTGCCCTACTTCATCATCCTGCTGCTGCTCGGCATGCCCTGCTTCCTGCTCGAGCTGGTGGTCGGCCAGTTCAGCGCCATGTCGCCCATCGTCGGCTACAGGAACTACGCGCCCGCACTCAAAGGTGAGCGCTGGTCTGCTGGCACTCGAGACCAGGTTACTGGGTAGGTGCTATAAACACTGTACGACAGTCTGTCGGATGGAAAGGTGTATAAATCTAAAGACAAGGTGGTATTGATATTACTGTTCATTGCTCTGGTAAAGATTAACAAAAAAGACGTATCTTGAGGCACAGAGCAGTATATTTTAATAAATCCAACCGGTTTCAAAGACCTCTCGTCTTCGTCATCAGGGATTGAAATATACAGAAAGGAGAAAGGTTTATGTAACCTTTCTCCTTTCTGTATATTTCAATCCCTGATGACGAAGACGAGAGGTCTTTGAAACCGGTTGTATTTATTAAAATATGCTGCTCTGTGCCTCAATATACGTCTTTTTGTTGACAAGGTGGTATGTTTAGCCCCGCTAGACATTGTCTTTATCAATGATGGCTCAAACTTTCGAATGCTGCGAAGCGAATGGGTGGTTTGACGGCACGAAAGACAACGTAAAGTAGGCATGCTTTGAAGGCCCCGAAAGCAGTCGTGACAACATTCGGTAAATGTCGGATAGTTTGGTAGAAGTGAAAAGTCAATCACTTTTCTTCACAGTACAGCTGCCGTGACCGTTGACTTTGGAGAGCTATGCTTGTGTTTGTTGCAGGGATGGGTTTCGCCATGGTCGTTGCGAATGCCATCAGCACTTGCAACTTCACGATCGTGATCGCCTGGTGTTTGTACTACATGTACCTGAGCATGACGGCCGAGCTGCCCTGGCAACACTGCAACAACGACTTCAATACACCCGGTGGGTGCAGTTTAGCGATATAACACACCCGGTGGGTGCACCTGAACGAAGCATGTGATTGAAACCACCAGTTGGATCACTGTTTTTTTTTCTTTAAGTCCTAATTAAGCCCTGTACGTGCCAGTACTTAATAGCTATGCCGCCGTATTTCCGAGCTGTAAGCAAGAACATCTCGCCGTTGTCATGACCCCCTGTGTGTTCCGGCAGCGTGCTTCAACCGTGTGGAGTACGACCGGTGTCGTACTGAGAACGGCAACAGCAGCTGGTGGGTGTACGGCCACGGCCAGTGCATCACCAACCGCAGCCTGGCCGACCAGTTGCTGGTCAACGAGACCATCCGACCCGAGCAGCGCGTGTCAGGTCAGTACTTACGAGCAAGACGGCTTCGTAGCTACTAACTGATGTTCTGGAGAGCAGCGTATTTACCATTTACGTAGGTAGTCCCTTTAGTCGTAACTATGCTATCCGCTCAAGAGCCCCGAGCCCTGGCCTGTCATGGTCTACGCTGTGGTCTGTGTTTCCAGCTTCTGACTGTGATGTGGTCTGTGCCTCTAGCTCCTGAGGAGTACCTGGAGCGGGAGGTGCTGAAGCTGAGCAGCGGTATCGGTCACTTGGGTGACATCCAGCTGGGCCCGGCAATAGCCGTCCTCTGCACGTGGCTGGTGGTCTGCGCCACCCTCAGCAAGGGCATCAAGTCCTCGGGCAAGGTAGGCTTGACGCTAGGCTAGTATCAGAGGTGCCCGAACTTTACTATTCCACGAAGCTTTGACGTTGCGCGTCACTGAGCCTAAGAGAGGTGAAAAAAATGATTGAACACAGGATCGATTCGTCCAGTTGAGCTGAGCATCACAGAGCATCATTCCTTAGGGTTGGGCATGCTCATAACAGTGCATTGCTGTAATTTACCAAAACATTGCAAATACCCAGCATCGCAGGTGTCCCTAAACGTTCCTGCACCTTTACTCATGGAAACCCATCGTCCTTAGAGTAGTTTAGTTCATCGTGCCACCGTCTGCTGCGGAGTCCGTCAGGTCTGGTGACCGGCGCCGGTTCTGTCTCTCGCCGGCAGGTGGTGTACTTTACGGTGATCTTCCCGTACGTGGTGCTGGTGGTGCTGTTTGCGCGCGGCATCACCCTGCCGGGCGCCATGGACGGCGTGCGCTACTACATGTCACCCGACTTCAGCCGGCTGGGCGACGTGCGCACCTGGGAGCTGGCCGCCTCGCAGACGCTGTTCTCGCTGAGCGCCGGCAGCGGCGGCCTCATCACGCTGGCCAGCTACAACAGGTTCAACAACAACGTCTTCCGGTGCGTTCGCCAGCAGTGCTCGGACTGTTGAATGTTGAGCTGGTTATTGGCACTGGCCACTGGATGAGGTGACTCCCGATACTGTATTATTTACCTGTGCAGACAGCGTTTGACATATACGATGGTGACACGCGCTCCCGTGTGCCGCAGAGACACGCTGGTGGTCTGTATCGGCAACAGCATAACCTCCGTGTTCGCCGGCTTTGCCATCTTCTCGTCCCTGGGCTTCCTGGCGCACGAGCTGGGGGTACCCGTCTCAGAGGTGGTCACCAGTGGATCAGGTGGGTCCAGACGCCTCACGGTAGAGCAATTTTGGTGGCATCACACCACTTGGCCACCGGCTTAGGAGTCACAGGCTCACAGCTTTCCTTACAAACTGTATATAAAATGAATGAATTTGAGCAAATATTCATAGGATTGGTTTATTCCTCGGTTGTTTGAGATTTCAGTAGAGTGACAAAGACTGTAAATTGACTGTTTTGGCCATCTTGCAGCTACTGCGCTGCATCGATGACGCTCCTCCTATGCCGCCGCAGGTCTGGCGTTCGTGGCCTACCCCGAGCTGGTGACCCACCTGCCCGTGTCGCCGCTCTGGGCCTGCCTCTTCTTCCTCATGTGCTTCACCCTCGGCATCGACTCGCACTTTGGTGGCGTGGAGAACGTCATCAGCAGCATCCTGGACGTGTTCCCTCGGCTGCGCGCCAGGAAAACCTGGGTGGTGGTGGCCGTCTGCGGAGTCCTCTTCTGCGGCTCGCTCGTCAACACCACACAGGTCAGCGGCTGCGGTGGGGTAGCTAATTTCCCCTCACTGAATCTCTTGCCAATCTCTTATACTGCCAATAGCCGATGCTGCCCTTTATCGTGTTTTCTGGTGTCTCACCTCTCGCGATCGGCCGTCTCTCGCAGGGCGGCCGCCACGTGGTCGACCTGCTGGACTACTACATCGCCGGCCGGCCGGTGCTGCTGTTCTGCTTCCTGGAGCTAATCCTGCTCTACTACGTGTACGGCTTCGAGCGTCTGCTGGAGCACCTGGAGACGATGACGGGGTACCGGCCCGGGCCGCGGCTGGCCGCCCACATCTCCGTCCTGTACGGCACCGTGGCGCCGCTCCTGGTCGGGGTGAGTGCCCGCCGAGGTCGGCTGAGAGTTCCGAATGTGGTCGGGGAGAGTTTTGGCCGAGGTCGGTTGAGAGTTCACCGTGATCGGCGAACTGATTTCACCATGGCCCGATTGTGACTCCATGATGACACGAAATGAGCCCTTAGATGGGATAACCACCTCCGACACGATATGTAAGCCCGTCGTCAGTAGTTGATCAACTCATCAATTGTTGATGAGTTGCTAGGCTCAGGTTTGCTATCGACCTCTGCACAGAGGCATATATATCGCTGTCAGGTTATATGCTTTACCGGCAGTGCGTTATGACTTTGCACCTGCCAGCAGCGCGGCGGCGCCTTTTCCTCCCCGTTCGCTCACGGACCTCGACAGTGTTGTGAGCCTCTGTCCCTCCGGCAGGTCATCATGGTGACCAGCTGGACCAGCTTCCGGCCGTACGAGTCGGGCGGCTACGTGTACCCCCTGTGGGCCAACGTGGTCGGCTGCTCGTTCCTGGCGCTCTGCATCCTACCGCTGCCCATCGGAGCCGTCTACAATGTGGTGGTCGAGCAGGAAGGCTCACTTCTGAACGTAAGAGAGTGCAGTCGTGATAAGAGGCGGGCAGTATGTATGTAGTAAAAGTGGAGCTCTTTCGGGCTTATTTCAAAGATGAGATTCGTAAGAGATGCTTGCAGGCCGTTGGTGCACATGGTTTGGAGATTGGAGGTGAGTTTAACATGCTTTTGTAGCGAGAAAAGTGACATATTTTGGCCGAAGCTGCAGAGATTAAGACTTTCCTTTTTGAATCAGTGGTGAGTTAAACTTTTTAACGGACCTAAATAGATACGAAGTGGCAAATTCGCTGCCGACTTCGCTGCTAGCGCTTTTTCAAATACGGTTAAAGGCTTATCGTAACACCTCCGGATGAAAATTTATTTCACTCTAGTTTTTAGTTGATGAGTTCAATTCAGGTGCATGCTTCAACAGTGACGGGCTTTCATCTCGAGCAGGGGTGCCGTAGCTATGTGCCATTGACCCGTAATTGACGTATGCCTATTAACCCTCGCCCATGTAGGGGGGGGGTTGGTGCAACCCCCCCCCCCCCCCTGAGGTTTTTCGGAAATAGTGCAAAAACGGCGGCGCGCAGCGCCGCCAAATTTTGGGTACCTTATGGGGCAAACCTTGCGCATCTTTTGATAAAAAAAATTTGACCGGGTCATGTCAGGTCACGGAGTTATGACGTCACAAAGGGAACAGCCTCCGGCCGGATTTTCACAAACTGAGTGCCAACGCCCGAGGTTTCCTGCCGGTGGTACGGACATCGGTTGATGGATCGTGATGAAACTTCCCATGCATGTTGGGGCAAGTATTGGCTATCATATGGTATAAGAAACTTGACCGGGTCAGGTCAGGTCACGGAGCTATGACGTCACAAGAGGAACAGCGTCCGGTACTATTTTTGAAAAGCGCCCGAACCACTATTTTGCTAATTCTTGTCACCTCAATGGGAATATGCAGCAATTTTAGCTTCTATAGGGAGCAAATGGACCTTCCAAATCCAAAAATACAATCAGATTTCAAAAATTTAAATTTTGATTTTTCGAATTTCTGCCGCCGACTGTGACCTTGCCAACTTCCGGCGCTCCCAACGCGCCATTTTTAGAGCTAGGGAAACGAAATACATACCAAACGATAGAGAATTGATCAAGGAACACGATAGTGAAGGTTTCAAGTCGATATCTCCCACCGTTTTGCCGCAATCGCCGCGGAAAGTTGAAAAAAGTCTATTTTTCCGAAAATTTGACCTTTGACCGGTCAAAAGTAGGTCAAATGTTGACCTAGGACCAAAAAATATACCACCAATCGCGAGATCTCGGCGAGAGTAATCCGTTGGTCTTTTCCGCTAAGCTCTAAGACGCTCCGTTTTCAAACGCCAAGGGGGGGGTCGCACCAACCCCCCCCCCCCCTGCATGGGCGAAGGTGGCAGATCGCCGTTTACGGGCGAGGGTTAACTACTGTTGCTCGTTTCAGCGGATTCGCTCGTCGCTGACCCCGACTGAGGAGTGGTTCAGTCACTCCAAACGAATTATTAATCGGCAGCGGCAAGCTAAAACCAATGGAAGGCAAGACGGCGATACTTCTACAGAGCACGAACACAAATGAACACTCGAATTCTTACAGCCACGACAGTGCTTCTTGTTTCACTTGTCTATTTTGCTACTTTAAGTGCGCTAGGATAGTTGATATTTTATTGATAACGTCCAGCAGGGATGGCAAAAGTGCTTGTTATTTTTATGTCACTCTTTCCGATGGTTATATAAGTGCGTCTTGGAATGGTAGGTATAGGTTTATACCGGTGCACAATGTTCACCGATGAGAGAGAACTAAGGATCATCGACATCCACATACATATAGGTGAGATTATGTAACTGTGTATGTTTTACGAGTACAATATTTGTGGGTATTTGGTAATAGTTCGGTGCTTGTGTTATGGTCCAACGAGAACATGGGCGGGCTGTTGGTTATTGGAGACGCGGCGCAGTTCTGATACAGCCGACTCGACCGAGCACACAACCTCCACTGACACTGCACTTTTAATGTAAGAGGTTTTTCCAATGTGCTTCATGTGAGTGGTGCAAGGCCGTGAGTGGTGTCATAATTCATTTAGAAACAGGCTTGTAATGACTTCCAGTCGGCATAATTACACAATTACATATACCGAAGAAAGTGTGATTGGCAAACTTAAAGGAAACAGTCCACTTTCCTGAAATCAGTATTTTGCTATTTATTTATGATTTTTTATGCTCAAAATAATCATGAAATAAAATAAAACCTTTTTGTAAAAACAATTATTTTCTATATTTTAATATAGGACGAACTATATTCTATGTAAAATAATGTTTGACGCGGAAGCTTATTACGCATTGACCAATCATATTGCGTAGCTCAAACCTACGAATACTGCATTGGCTGTAAGCAGCACGCTGATTGGCTGACGATGACGTGGCTGCATTCCTGTGCAAGGCACGCATTCCTCTACAAGGCACTCTTTTCGGAACGAGAAATGGAATATCTTCGTCTAGGGTGATCGTTGAGCCAAAAAAGCTCCTGATTTGTGCTAGTCTCAGCTCAAGCTACGAAACTGCTATTCCAGCTCAAAACCCCATGTTAAAAGTGAACTATTTCCTTTAAACTATCTTCTGGCATGATTCGAGAAGCAAGTGGACATATGCTCACTCTCATCTAAATATCGTAATCTGCATATAAAAATAAGCGTTTCACTTTTCATCGAGTGTTCTAACTCGGCACATCATATTGAACATCACATGAAGTTTCATACTTACGAGCCAGCCAGATGGCATCCCTTCGCATAATGCATGCCGCCAGTAGCCAGCCTTTGACGACACCTTGCCGCCTTCACAACGGGTCACCGCCTCAGTTACGAGACAGCGATTCGTAGATCCAGGAGTGACCACTGACCAATGAGTCAATTCTCGGCCACCACGCACAACGCACATATTGACATCACATCCCTAACCACATCCGAGCTGTCTCACCTTCATCCGTGAGTCCGGTTCTTCGTGAATCGTCTCTGGTTTCTCACGCAGTGGCCGGGATCTCACAGACGGAGGGCCAGCGGACGGCGCACTCATTATCGGCCCAGTACCCGTCTCCGGCCAACTGTTTGTCGCCGACCCAGCCGCTTCGGACCGAGCTCAGCATCTGGGTGGGTGATAAGGGGCAGTCATCTCATGTGCCATCATCTTACTCACAATGACTGTCATCATGAAGACCGTCATATATGTACATACGAGTAAGTACATACAGACACAACGGTCGCCTTCATCAAACACAACAGCCGTCTTAGCAATATGTAGCTAAGACAGACCGTCACCACACCGCTATAACCGCAGGTTGTTTGAAATAGACAAACACTATTCGTTATATACAGCGGATGCCGAATGTTCACAAACAGGTCTCACAATCGCACACGATTGTGCCTAATACATCTATACAGGGCAGCGTTCACAGCACCCATCACCTCAGCATGGGCACGCCATCACCAATGGGCACCCACTCACGTTGAGGCAGCGCTCCCGTCCGCGGCCGTCGGGCTGCTGGTGAAAGAAGGCGCTGGCGGCCGCCCAGCGGGTGAACAGCAGCGGCCGGCCGTCCGACCAGCGCCAGCGCCGGCCACGCAGTTGGCCGCCCAGCCAGGTCACGTCCAGAATCAGCTCTGACACGGCGGATTGGCAGTCAACAAGGATATTCAACTATTTTCGATAGGTTTGTTATCATTTTAGACCATATGAATGCTCTGAGATTACTTTCGTAGGTAATATTTTACGTAAAACAAAGCAGCATTTGATCGGCAAATTGCTAACCCCGCACCGAAACGGATAAAGATTGTGTATCATATTTATTTCACGGATTACCACAGTGAGCACCCACTACGGAACTGACTCGCCACTGCGGCCGTGCGGTACTCACTCCTGATGAAGTCGTTCTCCGTCTGTGACTCCACGCTGGCCAGTCTGAAGCCGCGGCGTCGACAGAGCCGCTCGGCCTCCGGCTGGGTCAAGTAGTCGTCCTGATACAGGTAACATGAGCCGCCGAACCGCACCGAGCCTGACGAGGAGAGCGGGAGGATCGGATACCGGGGGCATGTGACTCGTGGGAGAACAGACAGACAAACAGACAGACAGACAGACAGGCAGGCTGGCAGACAGACAGACAATCTTATAATATGTCCATAACATCTGAAACTACCGAATGTACATAGGTAATACCTACACCAATGATATTAACCTGGCTATCCACTTAATCAGCTATTTGTAATACTAACATCGGTTGGTAAAAAAAATTATTGAAACTGTCGTAATTAAACTATGCGCGCCGCCAAAATAAGGTGCCAATTATTCTCTTACCATAATGGTCACATCCTGTCCCGTTCTTCTTCAGTGACGCCATTTCATCTGTTTCATTTGTCGGCGTCCTGATAAACACAGTCAAGTGCAGACGTCCGCTTTGGTATAAAGGCAGCAATTTAATTTCTTTATAAATCGCTTCGTAATGTGGCAATCTAATATTACCAGTATAACGCCTTTTGCGGCGACTAACGGAGCGAGCGAGAGGGTGGGCCTTGCACGTGCGAAATTGCGAGGGGGTACCTCCAACTGACTTGTGCACGGCACCTTACTAATCGGTCTCTAGCGATGTGCCAAATTTGAGCACAATCGGCCCAGCCGTTCTCGAGATCTGGAAGCGGCACCCTGCACGTGCGCACGTGCAAAATGGGTCCCAACTGACTTGTGCACGGCACCCTACTAACTGCTCCGTAACCGTGTACCAAATTTGAGCGCAATCGGTCCAGCCGTTCTCGAGATCTGGAAACGACCCCTGCACGTGCGCACGTGCAGCAGCACCCCAACTCTGGCACATGGATATGCATTGCCTAGTGGGTGCCTACCTACATGCCAACTCTCAGCGCAATCGGCCCAGTAGTTACCGAGATATTGCAACAATTACAAAAGTGACACCTCTTCGTTTTGCACGTGGCACGTGCATAAGGGGTCACCCACATGCATCGGGAATAGTGCAATACTTGGTAGAAGGAATGAAGCTACCCTACAAAAATTACTGCATGTAAATCGGTCAAGTGGTTGCTGAGATATAAGCCTCGCAAAAGCGTGATCACGGCCGGCCGGCCGGCCGGCCGGCCGCTCATACTCAGAAATTTCCGTTAATTACGGAGCGAGCGAAGCGAGCGTAGTCTTTCCTTAGATTAACGGAAATTTCTGAGTATGAGCGGCCGGCCGGCCGGCCGGCCGTGGTCACGCTTTTGCGAGGCTTATATCTCAGCAACCACTTGACCGATTTACACGCGGTAATTTTTGTAGGGTAGCTTCATTCCTTCTACCAAGTATTGGACTATTCCTGATGCATGTGGGTGACCCCTTATGCACGTGCCACGTGCAAAACGAAGAGGTGTCCGTTTTGTAATTGTTGCAATATCTCGGTGACTACTTGGCCGATTGCGCTGAAAGTTGGCATGTAGGTAGGCACCCACTAGGCACTGCATATCCATGTGCTAGAGTTGGGGCGCTGCTGCACGTGCGCACGTGCAGGGGTCGTTTCCAGATCTCGAGAACGGCTCGACCAATTACCCTCAAATTTGGTACACAGTTAGGGACCGGTTAGTAGGGTGCCGTGCACGAGTCAGTTGGGACCTATTTTGCACGTGCGCACGTACAGGGTGCCGCTTCCAGATCTCGAGAACGGCTGGGCCAATTGTGCCCAAATTTGGCACATCGCTAGAGACCGGTTAGTAGGGTGCCATGCACAAGTAAGTTGGAGGTACCCCCTCGGAATTTCGCACGTGCAAGGCCCACCCTCTCGCTCGCTCCGTTAGTCGCCCCAAAAGGCGTTATACTGGTCTAAGGAAAGACTACGCTCGCTTCGCTCGCTCCGTAATAATTTCATGTCTATTGGAATGCTTTGGCGGCCTGATTTACCAAATACCCGAAAAGGCAACCGTTTCCTTCGAAGCCGTTATCCCGAATGCGATCCTTGAAGTTCGATGATATGCTTGGCCTGACACACGTCACCAACGTATCCCGTGATCAGGATGAAATTCAACATACTCCTCATCTAATGTGAGACAAACATGTGTCATCTGGCAGAACGCTGTCACCGATCATGCCTATTTTATGACATATTAGCCGTTTTCACGACGGGCTATCTGGCGAATGCACCTGATTTGACCAAATCTGCACCTAATTTCTTTTGCAGCAAATATCTTCTTTTATGAAATTATTTCAGTGTTTTAATCGATGGTGCTCTCTGATAATATGACAAAGCAGGCATATAAGCAATTAGTGCAACCCTAGCTGATAGCTGCTAAGAGACACACTGAACCTGATTTGACCAGATCTGCACCTAATCTGTACCAGATGTGCACCAAATGTGTACCAGATGGCCGTCGCGAAAACGGCTATTATATATCTGTCGCCAAACCTTGCTGACACATATAGTTTGATCTGGCTGTCTGGTCACTGTCCTTTGTCACCTCTCCCTGGATAACACCTGTCAGCAGGGTTGTGCTTGACTCATGAGTCGAGTCAGAAATTTGACTCAACTCTGACTCAAATGAGTCAGATTTGAGTCGAGTCGGATAAATTGTTGAGCTGTTGAGTTGAGTCAGAGTTGAGTCGGACAAAGATATTAAGGCGTTGAGTTGAGTCAGAGTTGAGTCAGTAAAATAAATTTGGACATTGAGTTGAGTCAAACATTTAGGAACATGAGTCAGCTGACTCAACTTTCCAGAAACAAGCTTTTCATCCCCCCCCCCCCGCTTAACAACTTCGCCCTGGTCCTGCTGCCGGACTTTTTCACCCCCCCCCCCCGCTCAACAGCTTTTTTATCTTAGTCAATTTTGAGTCAACTCACTTGACTCAACAAAAAAATTGAGTCAAGTTTGAGTCGACTCATATTTTCATTGAGCCGCTTGAGTCATGAGTCGAGTCAAGGGGAAAAATCAGCTCCTTGTTTGAGTCAGAGTTGAGTCAGGGCTTTCTGAGGTTGAATGATGAGTCGAGTCGGCAAATTTTTTGAGTCGAGCACAACCCTGCCTGTCAGTCCTGTCTCGACTGACCTGACGGGCAGCGCCAGCACGGAGAAGGGCATCTGGCAGACTACAGTGGAGGTGGCGGTGCTGCAGCTGGTGTCGCCAGCAGAGAACACGGCTCGTCCAGCAGCTCTGTCCAGCTGCACCGGCGGCAAAAGCGCGGGTCAGCCCGGCCGACAGAATCACTGGTCAGGGTCAGCCGAGACAGAAGCACTGCTCAGCCGATCAGCGTCTCTATCAGTCGGTATAGTCATCCTGGGCATTACAACTATTCTGTCGTGTTCCGACTCACCTGTGTCATGAGCAGCAGGCAGTTCTGGCGGCTGCTGTTGGTCGGCTCGTGCCTGGCCCAGACGCTGTTGTCCAGCGCCACTGGTGAGCCGTCGTGCCACAGAAGCTGACCCTCGGTCTGGCGGTCAGTGGCACCCAGAAACACAGCCGAGGGCCGCTCAGACGGCGCCACCAGGCCTGCCGAGGGGGAGGCGGTGTGGAGCTTGTTTGTTTTGTTTTGTTGGGTTAGGCCCTTTCGGTCTGACAAGACCATTGCAGAGCCGGAAGGATGATAGGAATTAGGGGGAGACATTGGTCTGGGCAGGCACCCTAGTGAGTCGCCGGGGCTGAGCCCGTCCAGAGGACAGGCCACCCAGCCACAAGGCACTCACTGCACCCGGCTACGGGGTGCGCTCCCTTAGGAGCAGCGGTGCCGCTCCAAGGGAGCAGCCCGCATGAGATAAAGTTGCCTGTCCAGTCCGGAGGGGGGTTGCGGCGTGGAGGAGAAGGATTTCAGTATCCTGAGGATAGAAGCATGGAAAGGTGATCGATGGTGTGGAGCTCAGCCGTCGCTGGGAAACCTGACATCAGTTCGGAGTTCATGTCTAATTTCGATAGTAAATCATCCCCTAGTGAATATGAGGTCTGTTCGCGCGCTACATATCTGTTCCGTACATACCAACCTTGCACGAATTCGACCTCCTCGAGGTCCCTGGTGATAGGCAGGTCTGCGGCCGGGTCGAGTTGGTGGCACCGCTCCCGCGCCTCGTCATACCGGACAGCGGTGACCGTCAGAGCACGGTAGCAGCTGCGCCGGTGGCGCCGCCAGCCGGGCAGACAGCGAACTGGTGCTACAGCGCCGACCGAGTGCACCGCCCAGAGGGCAGTGGAGTTGTGCAGGGGACCTGAGCCAGGGCCTGGGTGTGCAACTGCTGAACCGCTGGAAACATGGCCTACCTGAAAAGATCAAAGTTGAGCGATTTTGACCGGGTTCACCGTTCCTTCTTTTCCATCCTCCGGAGAGGCAAATTCTCCTCCACGTCTCAACCCCTTGCTCCGGGCTGGACGGGCAACTTCATCCCATGCGGGTCGGGAAGCTCCCATGGAGCACGCCCGTAGCCAGGTGCAGTGAGTGTTAGCTGCGGTGGCCTGTCCGATGTCCATTGGATGGGCTCAGCCCGACGAATCACTAGGGTGCCCGCCTAGGTCAATGTTTCTCCTAATTCCAATCATCCCTCCGGCTCTGGAATGATCTCACCAAACTCAAAGGGGTTAACCCATCAAAAAAAAAAAATAAATAAAGGCCCGGTATGCTCTCATATTGTCTTTCGCAGTCTATCGTGATATATTACCCAACCCTCGTCGGACCAATCGGTTTTCTAACATACCGTGAAGGGGAAAGTGACCGTTTCACCCCTAATGGAGCTGGACATTCGTCTAAAAAACGAGGGTATACGCCGTTACGAAACGCAGCAGCTGCTTTCGAATTTTAAGGGCTCGACTCAGGGTCTTGGATGACGTCCGAGGTCATATTAAGAGTCCCAGGGAAGAGGTAAAGTTTTTGGTGAATGACTTCACCAAAAAGTGTTGCAGAGACGAGATTTTAGCACCATTCGAGTGATGCCTTTTGTTTGGACTTTGGTGACGGTCAGTTTGGGTTGTTGACCTTAGGTCAAGATCAGGTCAAAGCTGCCCAGGTCACGAGGCTGGTCGAAAGAGGTCATATTGCATAATGCCCATCATTCGATTCGGCATTTTTCAGAAAGATGTTCTGGCTACGTTTTTTCCAACACTAAGCTTAATTTCATCGTAATTATTGACGAAACACTCCAATAACCTCAAGCAGCCTTAGTGATGTCATAGGTATATCACGTCACACCGTATCCGAAATGCTAAAGTTTGACTATGTGCCTTGTAAGAAGTGCATGATTTTTTTTTTTACTTTTGAACAAATCTGGGTTACTTTTACACGTAACAGCCGATTTTAGTATTTTCAACTTTTTTAAGCGTCATAGCATGACTGACTAGTTTATCATCCGTGGTCAAAAAGAAGTGTTGATACATATTTCTAGTTTTACCACATTTCCAAGAGAAAAAATAAAACATTTATAACATAAAAGGTCAAAGTCTTATCTAAGGCAAAACGGGCTAATGAACTACTAAACTACAATGCTTAGTTATCTTTTTTGTTGTCAAAAAAAAAAATATTGGTGATCATATCTATATCTTTAGTTTGCTCATCGATATTGGTAGGTAGGTACCTTTTCGCTGGTTTCGAGTTGTAAATCGATAAATATTTCAGATATTATCATAGATGTAATTTTTAATAAAACATTTACACTTACATGCACGTGAAAATGATACATAAATGTGGCAATAATGTAAAACACCGTTCACTTACTTGGTGTGCTGCTGATGTCAGTACCATAAACCACACTAAAGCAGTATAACCGGGTGATCTCTTGACGACTGCAGCCGTATCTTCATGTTTAAGCATGTCCGACATTGTTGTTTTTCACAACCAAATATCTAGGTAATTTGCCTAAAGGTAATCAAAGCGCATAGGTGACGAATAGGACAGCAGCTATTCGTGGGCTTTGTGATGGTGTATTGAAGAGGCTCTTACACCGTTGTTTTATGGCCTTGTCACACTCCCTTACTCACACTCCCTCCCTTACACCGTTTGTTTTATGTTACACCGTTGTTTTATGGCCTTGTCACACTCCCTTGCCGCACTTGCCCTGGCACCTCCTTACAAATCCCAAGACAAATCCATTAAAATCGTGCCAAAGATCTTGAAATATCTCGTGATATTTGTGCATCAGTGTTTCATTTTCAGTATCTAATACCCATACATGATGCATTGTTTCCACTTTCAACTTCCTTCACTGAACCGTTCAGTGAACGCATATTATGTAGCATACGTGTTTCGGATCGATATACCTTCTGTTCGTCAAATCATAGCCCTATGACCTTTCCAATTGTAATGTAAGTGTGTCGCCGGCGGCATTTGATCCTCCTGGTTAGTCAGGCGGCGGCTGATATGGTCTGAACTGACCGTGCCCACTGGCTGGTGGAGCGTCCCGTCCTCCCCGGGGAGCGCCGCCGGCAGTCTCCGAGCCCGGCTATCGTCGCCGCCGTGTCGCCAGTCGGAATCCCAACCGAATAGTCGGCCGCCGCTCCATCTCCAACCCAAACAGTGTAACTGGCTTACGGGCCGGCGCCGCTCGGCCACACGCCGGCAGCCGCGAATGACAAACGCCCTAACCGACTTATGGGGCCGGCCGGCGGCAGGTGGCTACGGCCGGACGTAGGAGAGGGTACGCTGCTGGTCACCGTCGGACGTATTTCACAATACATACTAACATAGTGCAGTGGCAGGCATGGAAAGGGTACGTGTAACATCCGTAGGTAACTTAACTGAGCAGCACTTATGCATATCGGTTTCATCATTTCACCTGAATTGGCTGTGCTAATGGCATTGTCCTGGCTGTCACTATCTAGTAACACGACACTCAGTGCCCACACAGAACGGTGTCCATTTCGTCCAGCCCTGCTGTCAACCGGGTCCATCTCACTTCAGCCCATATGGTTTGTGTCCAGTCTGTATCTCCTCCCGGTTGTGTGACACCTGGTCCCCCGTCACCTCCCTGTGACCCCATCACCTCTGGCTCACCCCTGTCACCCCTGTGTCACCCCTGTTCTGCCCGGCCCGGCCCCGGGGCTCAAAGTGACGGCTCACCAGCGACCGGCCCACAGAGGAGACGTCTCGCTCCATTAGCGCGTCTCCGGCTGACCGGGTGGGGAGACGGAGACGCCCCGGCGCCGCGCTGGCCCTGTTGACTCTGGCCGGTTCCCCGCGGGGAGGGCACCCGCCACCGGCCCACCCCCAGAGCGGCCCCGCGGCTGTGTCTGTGGTGGCGCGCTGTGACAGTCTGACGGCCGGCAAAACTGTCGTCTCATCCCAGCTGGGCGGCTGCTCCGGATCGGATAGGAAGGGAGGGGGCAGGGTATATGGAAGGGGAGGGGTGGCGAGTCACCGCCGACACGGCACTGTGAAACGTGCAGATAATGGTTTTAGTCTAAACGATGCTTACCAGTGACAACATTTAGAAACATAGATATTTGGCTTTTAGATTAGACCTTGGATAGGCGCAGGTCAGCGTTGTAAATCTAATAAATTCATTATTTTTATACTGAACGTTTTGTAGCATGCACTTTAAACATTTGTTGTAGAGTCTTACTTAGCTTGGAAGCTGATACTTTTTGTTTTATTGGGCTTACTTTGCCGTTTTGTTTTCTTTAAAATCTTGCACGCCAAATGAATGCCCGTACACATCTCCGCAGGGTATCTAGGACAGGTGACTGTATCTCACATAAATCCACGAGTTGAATTCACCATTAGGGCCACCGTCAGCACGGTGCCCCCCCCCCCCCTCCCCCGTGTGTATACATACACCGTGTCTGGGTGCACCACGCTGCCGCGCCGCGCCCAGATTGACACGGCCGACAGGACGAAATGGACCGGGCCGGCCGACCCGCTGCGAGCGCAGCGGCGTGTTGACATCAGCGGGAAACACGATATTTATACCGGCACGGGGCGCGGCCGGCCGACCTCTCTGTGGCCGCGCAAAAACCGGCCCGGCAGACACACCGCACCAGATCGTGTACCAATGATAGCGAGCTCGGAAATGAGCAAGTCACATTGTTGATCTACCTCGAAATGGGCTGCAGGTTTTGTTCAGCCACCGCGCTTTGTCGCTGAGCTGATGGCGGTGCAGTAGTGTGCGGTATGAGCATTGAATTTATGCACTAGAGCTCGTTCTACTCTATCACGCCTTAGTACTCGTGAAGCACGTCCTGATAAGACTCCAAATTTGTCAAAATTATAAATCCTACCTCACTTGTTGATCATGTTTAATTTAGGAGTCAACCCTCCGGACTAAAAAGTATGTATGTAGTCCCCAAGGCGGCGCCCGTCCTCACGACATGCGAGATTTATATCTACGGTGACTTCCAGGTCTTCGTCGTGACCCCGTAAGTAAACTGAGGTTGCGTGTTATGATTGTTTACCTCGGATTCGGGATTGCTTATCTCGATTGCCTAGTGCATAATTATCTCATACCCCACTCAGTAGTTCCTTATTGCTGCGGGAAAGCAATCGGTCACTCTCTCCCCACAATTCGACGCCTAAGTTCCTGGACGGGTCTATCGTTCATGAATTATACCTAATAACACATACCTAGTTACTAAACGGTTACTAAACTACTTAACTACTAAACACAAAACGTTTACTAACCGTTTTCACGACGGCCATCTGGTACACATTTGGTACCCATCTGGTATAGATTAGGTGCAGATTTGGTCAAACTAGGTTCACTCTGTCTCTTAGTAGCGATCAGCTAGGGTTACACTAATTGCTTATATGCCTGCTTTGTCATATTATCAGAGAGTATCATCGATTAGAACACGGAAATAAATTCATAAAATAAAGATATTTGCCGTAAAAGGGTTAGGTGCAGATTTGGTCAAATTAGGTGCACTCGCCGGATAGCCTGTCGTGAAAACGGCTAATGTATAACATTACAATTACATACACAATAAGGTCGCAAGTAATTACACACAATAATTGCTGACACACTCTCGCACTCACAAGCGCCATGCTTCCCGGATGACATATTGATACTGGTGTCAGTTTCACAACCCTGTTCATAGATGTCGCCACTGAACCGCGCCTGATGTGAGACTGTGCCGCAATGCACGTGTCTGGAAACCGGGCTGCGGCGCGCCATCAGCTATGCGCTGGGGACGCGGTTCCATGGGCGCGGGAGCCGGGGGGGGCAGCTTGCCCCCCCCCCTCCCCCCAACTCTGGGGCTGTGGGGCGGTGCCCCCACAACTTTGAGATGAAATACAGCACTTGTTTGCCAATATTTTCTTTTTTGTTGAAAAAGCCAAGGGATGAAAAATAAGTGGCCTAAAACCGGTGAGAAAACCAGATTTGGGGGTACCCTAGGTTGATCTCTATTATGGTGTGCCCCCCAGTCTGAAAGTAGTTCCCGCGCCCCTGCGCGATTCGGATGGTTTTCATGTGGATATGGGATAGTTTTATGTTAAAATTGCGACTCGTATACACTCATTACAGTATAGGCACACATGCCTAAGCATTATTGCGTAGGCATGTCTCACCGTGTCCATTTCTACGAAATACCTTCCAAGCGCGGCTCATCACTGCTCATAGTTCATAGTTCATAGTTTATTCGTGGTTGCATCCACTGAGAAGTGGCTCTTCCAGCGCCCGAGTCACACATACAAGTCATAAGATATAAAACAGTGATGACATAAAATGAAGAGGAGAAACACGCGATAAGACATGGCACTCCACGAACCTATCCTACCTCCCGAAGCAGCAGAAGTCTCAGCTGTCGTTTGAAGGCAGGTCGCGACAGAGACTGCAGCTCATTGGGCAGTCTGTTAAATAACGCACTGGCAGGAGATAGACGCCTAGCACCAGAGCATGTCTTTGCACGTGGGCACTGTAACTGGCCAGACTGCCGAGTGTGGTGGGGTGTCGACACATATGAAAGCATCGCTGCAATATCCGCTGGCAACTGGGTATCAAGCGCAGTCTTGATCAGACACAGCCTATGATAGCTGACGAGCTGCCTCGCTGAGAGCCACCCCAGCTGCCGAAGTACATCGGATACCCGATCATACTTGCGCCGACCACCAATGACACGTGCGCAGAAATTCAAGAGTTTCTGCACACGGTGCAACTGGAAATCATTGCATGAGCCATACACAGACACACAATAACGTATTGAACTCCAGACTCCAGACTCCACCCCTTCCCATTCATTCCATGTGTCGGCTCGACCGCCCCACACGAAGTCCCTTCATTCGCATTGCGGCGAGCGATGGTAAATACGGCGAAGTTCTAGCTATGTTGCTGTGACACGAACTACGAGTACAGTATGTTTTGGCAATAGTGCATCAATTCAATCGAAGTGTCTTGCAGCATTGCGTTTTGTTCCTTCAGAGCCGTGGGTGACAAAGCTCGATTCTCTAGACTAAGTAAACGGAAAGTTGTGTACCTGTCCGTGGTAGCTGGGTACTCCAAGTCACATGTCTTCGTCTTCGAAATCTAGTTTTTATCATTGTAGGTATCATGATTGGTCGGCGGTGGTCAATCCGAGACCACGGGCAAGGTGATCCATGGATAGCGAGCTTGAAATACCCTGGAATAACCTGGAATTACCTCGAATGTGCACAATAGTCTGAAGGCAAACAGACTAGAACTGCAAGAGGAAAAGTGTATCAGTTTATAAACGGTTATGAAATACTGAAATGCTCAGAGCCGATCATTCCGTTCAAACGCCATCGGCACAAGAAGCGGCGCGGACCGGTGCGCCCACTGCCGGCTCCGGGCCACCTCTGTCGACCGACGGAGCCCGTGACTGACTGGAACGGTGGCCAGCGCGCGCCGGCGTCATCTGATCCTCAGTGTGCTGATTTTCGCCCGTGTGGCGGCCTCCCCTTGACAGGCGGCATCATGCCGAGTAAACACTATCTCCGGCCAGCCAGAGTCAACACTATCGCTCGACGCTGCCTAAATAATAATGACTGCATTCAATACATTAATCACAGCCGTGTCACAAAGTATATTTTTCCTTTTACCTCCGCAAACAAGCCGGCGGGCGGCTGACAGCTCTGGCTCCGCCCCAGTCAGCGCTGATTGGCGGAGTGTGGCGGGGCTCGACGGTGATTGGTCGGCTGTGGACATGGGTGGCCTCGGCGGCGACAGGGTATCACGGCGGGAGATGGGCCGCCGGCTGCCGGCGCCGACCGGCACGAGCCAACATTGTGACACCCGACG